CCAGACTTCCCTCACTGTCCCACTCGGACTTGGGGAAAGGCCCCTGATGGTTGGGGAGTTGGCCTATCTGCTCCCCCAGCCTCACCTCTGTGCCCCTTGCCCCCAGCATCCCTGTAGAAAGACCTTACAGGGTCTGACCTTCTCTCCAGGCTCTAGCCGCCCTCCCACCTGCTCCAGCCCTCCCTTCTGCTGTACAAATACGGGGCTCACTGCCAAGATGTGGGAACAGTAAATCTTCCTTCATTCTTTTATGCATGCCCTCACCTCTGCAGACGGCGCTGAGGAAAAACAAACCCCACAAAATCCCCGTGGGCTCTGCAGTCTGGCAGTCTCTTTATGCTCCTCTCTGATTATCTCTGGAAGCCAGCGGCCAGGAGCAGTGGCCCAACCAGGTCCTGTGGAGGGGCAACAGGCCCTCTCCCCCTGCTGAGGTGCTCAGCACACTCAGCCAACACTTGTCACATGCTGAGCCCCGTACCAGATTCTGGGGACCAGAAATCAGTGTGACCCGGGGAAACTGAGAAATCAACATTCACGGCTTCCTGGAGTAATAGGTCTGTCTAACCTTCTTGGCTTCCTCCAAATTTCCAGAAAGCGTCTGGGCCTAGGAGGGCCAGACTATTTGCTCAAAACATAAGGTAAAGTGAGGTAGAGCTGCCCTGGCAGACGGGTCGGGTCAGCTGTAGGCTTTAAAGAAGAGACTTCCTCCCTAAGGGCCTTGGGGCCAAGGTAGCATCTGCTGATGTTACAGCCTTTGCAAGACAGTCTAGGCCCAGAGAATTCCTGGAACCTTCCTCCTGCAGCTCTGGGCACCAGGGAGGGCTTCCACTGAGCTCCATCAAACTGAAGGAAGACCGCAGGAGGCTGAGGGGCACTGGGTTTTACAGAATTCCTTTTATATGGAAGAGAGGCACCAGGCTTACAGTGACCCACTGTCCTGGTTTGCCTGTCACTGAAAGGTTTCCCAGGACATAGGTCTTTCAGTGCTAAAACCAGGATAGTCCTGAGGAAACTAGGAGGATGGGTCACATTAACTGAGGGGTACAGGAAAGGACCCTCCCTCCATGGGCCTGGCACGTGGCTGCATCCAAGAATGGCTTGGAGCCCAGTTGTCTGCTAGTGGTTCTACTAATCCACACTTCCCTTGTGGCAGAAGGCTGGGGATGGATGGAGGGACCTCCTGGCTGGCACAGGAGCAGTCAAAGAAAGAGAAGGAAGGAAAGTGTTTATGGTCTTCTTGGTAGGGAAGAAATTCCCTCTACTGCCTTTGGGGACCTGGGCCCCACGAGGCCCGCACGGAGGCTGGGCTGTCACAAAGTGAGCTAGGGAGCAGCTAAGAAAGCTACCACCTCAAGGGGCCCAACCTGTCTGTGAATCCTTTGCTGAGGGTCCAAAGGACGCTCTACTGGGCAGAGGAACATGGAGAAAGATGTCTTTACACTGGTGTCTTTCACCTGGTGTCTATTCCTCCCGGGGCCCTGGAGGGTAGGCCTCGGGAGATAGCAGCCTTGCGGTGCTGCAGAGCACTGAGCAGGATGGGACCAGCTGGTTTCTGCAGGTCTGTCCCAGGGAGCAGGCTCCTCTCGAAGCTTACCTATCCAGACTGGAAGGTGTGAGGCAGATGTCTCAAGAGGCAGAGGTTTGAGTTAAAGCCATTCTGACAAAGAAAAGCCCATAGGGACCACTTCACCCAGACTTCTAATTTGGCAAATGAGAGGCCGAAAACCAGGGAGGCTGAGTCAGTAGCTGGGACAGCACATTCCCACGTGGGCTGCAATGGGACTCTGTCGCCAGAACCATTGTCAGATGCCACAGTCAGAAGGGAGAATTTTCAGAGCTAAGCCTAGTCCTGTGCTGTTCTGGGAGGGGCCCATCAGTGGGGGACTGTGTCTCTGTGGCCAGGACCTCCCCTTCCATTCTGCCCGATTCCCCAGCTTGGTCCACAGCAGCACCAGCTCCAAGTGGATCCTTCATCCCTCCACCCCCCAGAGTGCTCCTTGCTGGGAAGTCCCAGCCTGCAGGGACCTTGCCCGCTCTGCCTCTCCCTTCCCAGCCTTAGCTTCACCCTGCAGGAGTAGAGAGCTACTCCCTACCCGCCTCCTGTGACCTTCCTAGAGGGAGAGGGATTGCAAACAGTTTAAAGAGCCTTGACCAACTCTGGGCTTCAGTCAGTGTGGTGGGAAGCCGAGTCCTCAGAGTGGGGCGAAAGCTGAGCTCACCTTGGTGTGTCCAACACGGAGGTAGAGAGAGATCAGACCCAGGATGCCGAGAAGGACTGGAAGAGCAGGGCAGGTGAAGGTGGGTTCTCTTTTGACTAGTAGGAATGTTCCAAGTGCATGGCCGGGAGAAGGCAGGGGAGAACGGTGAAATGACCACCAAGATGTTTCAGGAAAAGCATCTGGTAGCTACTGTACCGGCATTTAGCATTTATAGCATCCCAGTTTTGTCCTATTGAGGGTTAGTCTAGCACCCCCCAAAAAGAAAATGCAGAAAGGGCCCAAGAAATGTTCCCAAAGAATGGCAGTCCTGCTTCCTTGTTCCTAGAACCCTTCTAGGAAAAGCAGGTTTCCCCAGAAGGGTCACAAGGACACAGATCTTGAAACCCACAGCATCCTTGAGGCCCAGCAAGCATGAGGAGGAGCTGAAGAGAGAAGGGCTCTGCCCTGGGCATGGTGACCAGGAGCAACCCTCTTGGAAAGTCTCAGGAGATTCAAAAGCTGAGCCCAGGCAGGTGGGATGCTGAATCCTTGGGGAGGAGGGCACAGGGTTCCTGCACACTGAATTGCCCTGACTTATTCAGTAAGAGGCCTGTGGAGCTCCCTTAGCAATTACTACTGCCCCACTAAGTTCTGTGCCTGGCTGGCCATTAATAATTTTTTTGGAAATAGGTCTCCCAACTCTAATAAGACAATCAGCTTTCTACCTCCCAATTCCCTACAGAGCTTAACACAGCTGGGCACCCAGCTGGTCCTCATTAAAACTCTTTTGGACCTCAATATTCCCACCCTTGCTGGCCTCACCTCCATCCCGCCACTCCAGCCACTGGCCTGGGCCATGAAGCCAGCCAGGTCACTCCCTTCTCTTCATTTCTCTTCGTTTTCTAAGAGCTGGACTGGCAGATGCTAACAAAGGAAAGGGAGAGCCTGGCCAAAGGTATTGGGAGCTTATGGAAGCTAAAATAGTAAGCAGGGAATTGCTATTAGCAAATTCTCTCATCAGGGCATTCTTTGTGGTTCTCCTACAGGAGATATTCATTTGTAAGCTTTAAGTCAGACTGTGAATCTCAGGAAGAACTGGAAATCACTAAGAATAATGCCTGAAAAGGGCCTCTGGCAGGAGCCTCTACACTCCCTGGGTTTGGGTTACCTCATCTATAAAAAGAAGGCATTGCAATCCATTACTATAAGCAGGTGGCTACATCAGGTGATCTGATGAAGTACCTTCCAATTCTACACTTCCCTGAATATTGGGCAACTTCATTCATACCTGTACAAGTTAGAGACCCACATTTAGAGTAAAAAGACCCACAATTCACATCCTGGCTCTGACTCCCACCAGCTGAGTGGTCTTGGGTGAGTCACTTAACCTCTTTGAACTAGTTTTCTAATCTATGGGGACGATACTGACAGTATCTTCACCGCATGGATGATGTGAGATATGAGCATGTTTTATAAACTGTAAACCACTATTCCAATGTTATTGATTATGAACAGGTCATAATGGCTGTAATAAAAAAGAGCCATCCCCTTTAATAAGCAAATACTTATGGTGAATATCCAAAAGCTCATAGCTGACAGATGTGTGTTTAATTCCTGCCTGCCCAGGAATACCTGCTGTCTGTCATTGCCTCCTGACGTGGGGACTTCCAGGAGTCAGGTAGAAAATGTTGATCTCAGGGTGGAGGCTGGAGGTCTGGGCAGTAGGGACCCCAGGTGAGGCTATTTTACCACCCATTTAAAAACTCCTCCATGATGCTTCTGCAATTTGACAGCAGACTGCTAGCAACCTCTTCCCAAGGTAATGCACTGACAGCAAATTAAGGCCTTTATTTTTTAGTGCAATTCATGTAAAGGGAGTAGACCCTCCAGGAATGAATAATCAATTGTACAGCCTTTCAAAAAATGTGCTGATAAACTCACACACTTCTGTTTTGGCTAAGCACTCATTCTATTTCCTCGGGTAAGCACCATAAAAAAGTTCATTGCAGTTTTTCAAAGCCAGATGCCAATTGCATTTTAATTGCTACAGAGGAGAGAGGAGGGGAGATGCTTAGCCAGAAAATTGCTAACTGGGCATAAACTCAGAAAGAGATCTCCCCGAGCCAAAAGGTTTATTTCTGAAACAAAGAGCTGAGGGCAGATGGAGCCTTGTGGGGGAAACCAAACCTTCCGTAAGAGAGCACTGGCTTAAGTGGTTCTCAGACTCCAAGCCTCCGAGCACCTGAACACCTAAGGCTCTTCATTGCAGACCATACGGAGATTTAACAAATTTAAAGAATTTTTTGTAGAAAGCACATGCCAGAATTCTCAGGTACATGAGCAGGAGTCAGCACCGATGCTTCAAAAAATATACATGAAAGGACGATTGTAATTCTATCCCTCAATGTACATCTGTGTATGTGTAGGTGGGTGGGTAGGTGTATGAGAGAGGGAGAGAATTTGACCAAGGCCATACATTGCTTTAATAATAGAACCCCTTGGACAAGTTCACAGAACTGTCATTTTAAAACCAACACCTGTACTGACTCCATCGTCCTTGTTTTCCAGGGCCCCTGCCACATGCAGGAGCACCTGGAGCCAGGTGAGAACAGGAAGCAGGGAGACCAATGGGAGTGGAGAGGATCCTGACTCCCATGGGCTTAATCTGGGCTGGCCCAGCCTGATTCCATCTGCCCAGGAGCCTCTGAGCCAGGGAATCCTCCAGGGAGGCACTTAGCTTGTCTGAGGGCACAGGGAGAAAGTAGGATATGGGGCATCCCTGAACACCCTTCCAAAATATATTCACAGGGGCTGGAAAGGGCAGAAGGACAGGCTCCCAGCTGCCTCCAGCAGCATTTGGGGCTCCAGCTCCTGCCTCTCATCCTTCACCCTCCTTGCACCACTCTCAACCCAGCCCCAGCCTCTCTCCTGCTGTTGAGCCTGTCTGGTAACAAAGAGAGACTCTGAAACTAGGGCCCGAGAGGAGGGACCTGCAGCCAGGCGGCTGGCCCGTGAGTGGTGTCTCTCGGGCACAGTGGTGGGAGATCCCATGCCCTCTGCTGCAGAGGCTGCTGCTTCTCCTCCAGCTAGTGGACCTGCAAGAGACCCCAGAAAACAGGAGGCTGGTACACAGTGACACTGGAGAAAGCAGGAGGATTTGAGAGGGAGTCCTAGATGGAAAGAATGGAGCTGGAGCCACAGCACGGCTCTACCACACACCAGCTAGGTCACTTTTATTTCATAAATCACTTAACCATTCAGAACCTTGATTTTAACTTATATCAAATGTAGTTTAAAATAGGTGCTGCTGGCTCGGCACCTGTGGCTCAAGTGGCTAAGGCGCCAGCCACGTACACCTAAAATGGCGGGTTCGAATCCAGCCCGGGCCTGCCAAACAACAATGATGGCTGCAACCAAAAAATAGCCGGGCATTGTGGCAGGTGCCTGTGGTCCCAGCTACTTGGGAGGCTGAGGCAGTAGACTCGCTTGAGCCCAGGCAGTGGAGGTTGCTGTGAGCTGCAATGCCACAGCACTCTACCCAGGGGGATGGCTTGAGGCTCTGTCTCAAAAAAAAAAAAAAAAAATAGGTGCTGCTCTAGGGGGGTTGTAAGATTTGAATGAGAAGAGGGATGCATACATCCCCTGTAAACTCTAAAGTTTATCTATCTAAGTTAAGTTAGGCACCCCTGTGCCTAACCTTGGAGAAAAATGCTTTTCATTATCATGCCCCAAACGTAAAATACGTTTGAGAAATAATATGTTCTTACACACGTTATCTCACTCGGCTCTCCCATTGACCACAGCAGATTGCTGACTGTCACACAAAACTTTACTTAGATTCAGGACTCGAACCACTAAATGCTGAGGTCTCTCCATGGTATAAGGAATGCTGTCACTAGTAACCGCCTCAGAGGCCAGGGATGAGTGACAGAAATAGGTAAACACACAAGTCACACTCACTCTGAGTCTGGCACTGTGCTAGACACTGTATGGGTCTCATGGAATCATCACAAGGGCAGATAAGGTAGCCACGATGATTATTACCAGGAAACTGAGGTTTACTAAAGTTAGGAACTTGCCAAAGGTAACCTGGAGAATGGCAGGTCTGGGATACAAACTCAGGTCTCACGCGGCCCAGCTGATGCTTAAATTGATAGACACGTGATGAATTCATGTTGCAAGCATCCCATCTTCCTTCACCCTCTCTGGGAAACACTCCCTAGTCTAGGCCTTATCCCACCTTTTTCTTTGTCGCTGCTACACATGGAAAGAATAAGAATTGTCTTGGGCCACACATGAAATACTAAGGAAAGATGATCAGCAAGGGGGAAAAAAAGCCTGTATAGTTTTCATGATATTGGACAGCACAGATAAGCCAAAAAAAGCCTCACAAAATCAGCATGCGGGCTGCAGGCCTTTTCCCGGACCTCAGCAGCACCCCATCCAGGTAAGGGGTGAGGTTTACAGTGTCTGAAGGGTAGGTTCTTTAGAACCTCCTGCCCAGCCCCCACCCCACACTCACCTGAGCAGTCTCATGGATCCAGTCCAGGAACTCGGCTACCTTAGCGTAGACACCTGGGTGATTGGGCTCTGCACAGCCACGACCCCAGCTGACCACGCCTACGAGGTGCCATTTGTCACCATCTGGGCACACCAAGGGGCCCCCGCTATCTCCCTGAGGAACCCAAGCATGGAGACACAGAGAAACAGCCAGTTAGTCACTCCTGGTGGAGCCCACCAGGCCTCCATGGGGAATAAACTCTCCTGGGGCCCCTCCTGCTTCCGGCTGGAATACCAGGTGGCCTCTCACCCCTCTGTCACCCCTTAATGTGAGCTCCAGACTTGCCTAGTCGCCCCCCATCCTAGAGTGGACGTCCACCACAATAGACAGTCTCAGACCAGGGGGTAAAGCCACGGCGGGTCCTGCGCCCACCATCCGGGCCACACCTGGCACGCATCGGCCCTGCCGTCCAGGTAGCCGGCACACAGCATCCGGGGGGTCAGGGCGCCGCTGTACACGCAGGAGCTGTTGCAGAGCTGGGTGCTAAGCAGGGGCACCACCGTGTCCTGGAGCATGTCCGAGCTGTGGGCTGAGGGAGACACCGAGTATGGCTACAGGGGACAAAGCCAGACGCAGGGAGGAGAGCGGCACGAGGGTAGGTGATTAGAGACCCCAGAGACACAGACCCAAGAGGGGTGCCGAAGGGAGGAGCTGTGGAACCCAAGCAAGGAGGCGGGGGCTGTCAGTCCTGGGGACTAGGAGTGGGGCTCATCCTCCACCCCCGCGAATGCGGGACAAAGAGGAGTAAAAGGGTCTGGGTTTGAAGACAACTTTCAGCGGGGGTTCTCCCCAGAAAGGCCCAGGCCGGGGAGACTGGGGCCCCCAGGCCTGGCCAAGGGAGATGTCAGGGACAAGGGGATTGGCACCGCCATTCGGCCTAGGGAAGGACGCTCCCCACCACAGCCCCTTTGCACCCAGGGCCCTGAGCTGACTCACTATGGCTGGGGTCGGTGTGGCCCCAGCCAGACACCCAGCACTGGGAGCCCCTGGGAAATTGCTGCTCCAGGGCTGGCAGGCACACGGCACCCACGGTGTCTGCGGAGAGGCAAGTGGTCCCACTCAGGCTCGGCTGCCTTCCCTGCAGAGCCTGAGCGAAGGACCAGGGGCAGCCAGATTCTCCTCACCCTGCTTCCCACACCGTCCTGGATCCTAGCCTCCACTAGCCAGGGGTCTGCGCAGGCCGCTGCATCGTCCCCCCATGGTGATGGTCGCCACTCACTGGGGACAGCGCGCAACTGCAGTGTCCGTGGCGCCCTCTAGAGGCAGGCGGTGCACCTGCTGCCTGCGCCCAACCTGGGCACTGGGGGAGAACTGGAAATTCCTCCTGGCTGTGGTGGACCTCAACTTCTAATGAGGACCCATTTGGCTTCCCCCAGGGTGTCTAGTGCCTGGGTGTTTCCAAAAGTGTGTGAAATAGCCTACAGGTGGAGCCAAGCGTGATTTTAGGAAATACTTAGACATGCCATGAAATAAACACAATTCACTTGTAAGAATGTTATTTCCTGGGCTCACCTCCCAGGGCAGGCGCCATGGGCAGGACAAACCCTGACATCTGGCTCAGGACTGTCTGTTCCATGACCTCGAAGAGAGTGGCTCCTCTCCCTAAACTAAAATGTCTGTCTATATAAATCTGCTTCGTCTACCTGTCAGGGTTGTCACAAGAACTGAAAGAAATGATACTGGAAAAATAAAAGGAATCTCATAAACTTCAACATGTCACGAAATGGCCAGGACCTCACACCAGCCTGGGGACAGGGGAGGAGCAGCCCATTAATGATGGTGCAGCTGGGAAGCCCTGACTGGGACCCCAAGGCAAATCCTGCCCAGCAGCCCAGCAGCCCAGCAGCCCAGCTGTCAGAAGGACTTGAACCTTTGTCCCAAAAAGAGCCTGTACAAGATGTGGTACCACTTCAGTCCAGGTGATGCCAAACGTCACCATAGTCCCTACATGAATAGACTACAGCACTCAGAACTCAGAGGAAACCTTGGAAATCAACTGGCCTCCTTCTCCCACCCAGTCCCCACCCTCTCTCACCATAGCCCCCAGCCTGCCCACCCCAGGGCCAGCGCCCCACCTGAGAAGTTGAGCGGTGTCCGGAGCCACAAGAGAGCAACATCATAGTCATGATTCTGTGTGCTGTAGAAGGGATGGGGGATGATCCTCTCCACCATAGCCCCCTGGTATGGCCTGATGGCACTGTGGCTGACCAGCCCTGCATGAACTCGCCAGCTTGACAGGCGGGACAGCCTGTAACTGCACACAGGGGCCATGCTGAGCCGAGGAAGGAAGGAGCAGAAGACATCAACATAATAGAGGTGGTGGGTGGGGGACGCTGGCCAGAGAGGCCACTACCGGGAGCCCCATTACCAGGCTGCAAGCTCCTAGAGCCCAAGGGTCATGGCCTAGTATCACCCAGCGGCTGGAAAGACACTGGGCATAGAGTAGACGCTTCATACATGCTAAAAAACTGGTGGATAGAGATGTGACGCTAGGGGTCACTACCACTTCCTCTCTCCTGCATACATAATTCCACCAAGACCTCACTGCCTGCCACTTCCTCTCGCCTGCATACATAATTCCACCAAGACCTCACTGCCTGCCACTTCCTCTCGCCTGCATACATAATTCCACCACATTTTACAATAAATACAGAGGGGCTTTGTGTCAAGAAAAGCTCCCTCAGTCCCATCTCTGTGTTTACTATGTGATCATGGGGGAGGCACGTCCCTCTCCCAGCCTCGGTTACCTCACTGTAAAATGGGCTTTGCACTCTGTCCTGCTGCCACCAAAAGAAGAGGCTCAAAGAGCTCCTTCACTGGTCGTTCATTCATTCCTCCTCCAGCTAACATTTATTAAGCACCTACTATATTCCAAGCACTGTTCTAAGCCCTGGGGATACAGCAGTGGAAATATCCCAGGATTCCGTGGTAGTAAGAGTGAGAGTCCCTGCCCCATAGAGCTTCCAGTCTAAAAGGGAAGATGTCATTAAACAAGTAATTACATGAAAAGTGGTTTAATTACGTGGTGAAAACCAGTCAGAAACACAGGATGCTGGGAATGTGGAAGTATTTTAAAAACCTAACAGCTGACGAATGTACAGAACAAAGCTTTGACCTATTACTACTATTTGTGCAGATCTGTTCTTGACACCTCATAGGAGACCTTCACGAACCAGCCTTGCCCACTACAAGCAGACACCTGAAGCAGACAGCTGGACGTGGACCTTTCGTACGGGACATACCAATAGCTAAATGGAAAAGGCAGCGGAGGCCCTCTCCTCCCCAGCAGCCCCAGAGACTTGCCTGTACATGCAGTGTGCGGCCGTCACAACCCAGTCTGGTGCCAGCACGGAGGCTCCACACATGTGCCGGAAGCCCAGGGCCACACTGGCCTGCCAGGGCCAGCGCCCAGGAGCCACAGCCTGCCCACCAACTATCCGGGAAGCCAGGGGCCTTGCTCCACACTCTGCCAACAGAGAAGGGTAAGACAGAAAGGGGTGAGCATGGTCGTGGCTCTCAGGGAATGTGGCCCAATGCCAAGCCCCAGAGTCGATGTGGATACCTCTCATTTCTTATTTCTGGTCCTAAGTCGGGGACAGGAAGGTACAAGTGATGTTTACACACCTGCCTGCCCCATCAGACTACGGGCCTGCCGAGAGAAAGGACTATGCCTTTGGGGCTCTCCAAAAGAAAGGGGGAATGACATCAGAGGCCAAGGCAGAGAGTGGCAGGCAGTGAGGTCTGGAGAGCATCAGCCCAGCCCAGCAGCTGGTGGGGAACATGACAGAGGCTTAGAAAGGGCATCTGCAAGAAGGGGCCTGGCAGGCAGATAGCAGGTGGTCAAGGATCACCTGCCAAGATTATTCAGCTGAGCCTCCCCATGGGGCTCTTCCACACTCATGGTGAGGGGACACTCCTACCCCCCCCCCCACTCCCACCACCACCTTCCCGGATAGAAGACATGACTCACCAGAGCACTTGAGGGAAACAATTTGGCCAGAAGTACAGTTGTTCCTACAAAAAAGGGGCACCAGCAAAAAGCTGGACAGGGGCCCAGCCTGTGGCCACACACACAAACCCAAAGGCATGGAGGAGGGGGGTGGTTGGTGGACAGTTCTTAAGGCCGCCACCATGTAGCCACAGATTTAAGAATAACACCACTTCTTTCCTGCCCCGGCCAGATAGCCAGGCTCTTTGTCACCACCAGTCCCTGAGATAGCAGCAGTATTCTGCCCAGTCTCCTACAGGACAATAGAAGGACTTCAAAGTCCTTGAGGGGAGATTTGAGTAAGGCCCAAATATATGAATAGAATATTTACAGATGGGAAAGCCCAGCTGTTCCCTTGAATGGCCTGGAATAGATACTTGTTTGATGGATGAACAAATGGGCCAGGGAGTGAATGAGTGATCAGAGCTCTCCACCCCGTGTACCTCTGTCCTGGCCCTTCCTCTGGGCCCTGCACATTCCCAGTCTTGCTCTCCTCTTTCCCCTCCTCTCTGTTAGCGTAAGCCTCGATTCCTTTTTGACCAAAGCCCCCTTCCCTTTCTTTATTCTCTTGCCCCCAGCAGCCCAGTACCCGGATCGTCTTAGTTTCTTCCAGTTTTCCAAGCCTGTGGCCCTCCCAGCTCTCCTGAAGGAGTCAGCCCCTCCACAAACACTTCCACTTGCCTGTTCCTGCTATATCTAAGGCAGGAACCCAGCCAGGACTTCCCCCCAAGGCCAGCCACATGCCCAGTCATATGCCCAAGGACAGACCCTGAGGACAACAGCTGGAACAGGAGGGCCTGAGAGAACTGTTCAAATCCGAAATGTGGTAATAGGATGCCCACTCATCTATCCCAGGAGGCTGTTGGCAGCTTGAGGAAGCCCAGGAAGGGGCAACAACCCTCTCTTCTTTTTTTTTTTTTTTTTGAGACAGAGCCTCAAGCTGTCCCCCTGGGTAGAGGGTCATGGCATCACAGCTCACAGCAACCTCCAACTCCTGGGCTCAAGCAAGTCTCCTGCCTCCGCCTCCCAAGTTGCTGGGACCACAGGCACCTACCACAACGCCTGGCTATTTTTTTTCGGTTGCACCCATCATTGTTGTTTGGTGGGCCCGGGCTGGATTCGAACCTGCCACCTTAGGCATATGTGGCTGGTGCCTTAGCCACTTGAGCCACAGGCGCCGAGCCACAACCCTCTCTTCTTATGTCTCAGTCACTCCAGACCCACCCTCCAGATTTGGGGAAGGGACTGCTCTGTTCCAGAGCCCTCTTCTCTGGGAGACTCTCCAGGCTATGTGCAACTCTTTTTTTTTTTTTTTTTTTTTGGCGGGGGCCGGCGCCCTATTCCTTTGAGCCACAGGTGCCACTCCTATATGCAACTCTTAGCCTGAACAACTCAATCGTCTCTCTCCTGAAATATCACTATTATCCAAATAAAGTGTAGCAGGGTTGAGAGAGCCTGGTTTGGAAACAGGAGCCTGGTTTCAAGATTTGGCCTGGTTGCTTATTAATTATGTGTCCTTGGACAAGACCCTTGAACCTCATTAAGCCTCAGTTTCCTGGCCAGTAAAAGGATAAGAGTACTATTTCAAATTCTGTGACAGTAATAACCAACACTGGATTTCTTATAAGGGGCAAGTGATGGAAGTGAAGCCGTGATGGGCAGGCTCATGTGAGCAGAGCCCTGACTGCTGATCAGGAGATGTTACCCTTTGTCCTCCTATCTTAGACTGCCAATGTTCCCCCACCAGGCTCCCATGACAAGGAGGTTTGGTGCTGGGCTGACCACCAGGAAGTAGGGGACCTCACTCACCTAACCTCCTCAGAAGTCCTACCTGGGCTGCCGTATCTCCTCCAGGAAGCCTCCCGGGCTAGAGGAGAGCTGAGCAAATCGCTGGGAGCTGTTTAGCTTGTGGTCAGTCAGGTTTACTCCTTTGTAGTAAGTCATTCTTGGCAGAAGAAGGAAATAAAAGAGGAGGAAATTGCAACAGGAATTTGCACGAGGTATTTATACCAGGAGAGTGACTGAGTGAGGCTGTGATGATGACTTCTGGGATTTATGCTTTTCAAAAAGTAGCAAGGCCCAAAAGAAACAGGCTGGGGAACCATCATGCCCGGATGCTGGATGACAGGCCAAGTGAGCCTTGCCATCTCCTGAGCACACTGACAGTGACGGGTAGATACAGGTCTCCAACTTCCCTTCCCCCACCCACCAGTGCTCTGCCCTCCCCAGACCCAGGGCTGGACCCTGTTACCTGAGATGCCCGAGGCTCTGGCAGATCTGCACCCCCAGGGCAGGGCTCCAGCCCTCGTTGCAGACCAGGAGCCAGTCTGACTGGGCCCTCACTTGCACTTCCAGCAAGAAGTCGTCTCTGTCTACTCTGAAAGATACTGAAATCATGGCGTGACACCCTCATCCCTCCCGCTGTGGGGGGTCAGGAGAGGATGGTGGCAGGACAAGCCAGGAGGAGCTACACTTGAGACTCTGGACCCTGAAGAGGTCTCAAGGGTAGTCTGGGTCACCCAATGTCAGGTTCCCTACTCCCCAGGCTGTCAGGACAGTCCTAACAACAGTATAACCCCTATTTGTGGGGCATTTCATTTTTTTTTAACTGAGTAATTTTAAGCATGCTCCATCACTCACTGTCACGGCAGCCCTGTGAAGTGAGCATTACCCTCTCCAATCTGCAAAGGGAGAATGAAGGCTCGGAGTTGAAGGTACTTGCCCCAGATCACAGAATCAGCAAGTGATAAATCAAGTTTTCTGATCTGAAATCCTGTGACGATAATAGTTACATTTATTTAGTACGTCTTTTTTCTGGGCTGTCAGAGACTGAATTTTGTCCTCCTAAATTTATATGTTGACGTCCCAGCCTGCAGTGTGACTGTATTTGGGGACAGGGCTACTTTAAGAAGGTGATTGAGGTTACAGGAGGTCATAAGGGCGGGGCCCAGATCCAACAGGGCTGATATCCTTATAAGAGAGAGAGACATCAGACATTTCTCTCTCTCTTCCCCAGAATAGAGGAAAGGCCCTCGGGAGGACACAGCAAGAAGGCCGCCGTCTACAACTCAGGAAGAGAGTGTTCTCTAGAAATAAAATTTGCCAGCACCTTGGTCTTGAACTTCTAGCTTCCAGAACTGTGAGAAAATAAATGTCTGTGGTTCAGCCACACAGTCTGTGGTGGTTTTGTTATGGCAGCCTGAGTAGACTAAAATGCAAGCTCTGTGCTAAGCTCTTTTTATAAATCAGTTTGCTTTATCCTTATAATTTTATGCAGTAAACAGTTTTATTTCCATTCTACTTTTTTATTTTATTTTTATTTATTTATTTATTTTTTTTTTTTGAGATAGAGTCTCACTCTGTCACCCAAGGTAGAATGCCCTGGCATCATATAGCTCATGACAACCTCAAATTCTTGGGCTTAAGAAATCCTCTTGCCTCAGCCTCCCAAGTAGCTGGGACTATAGGCACCTGCTACAATGCCTGGCTATTTTTAGAGATGGAGTCTTTCCCTTGCTAAGGCTGGTCTCAAACTCCTGAGTTCAAGCAATCCACCTGCCTCAGCCTCCCAGAGTGCTAGGATTACAGGTGTGAATCACCATGCCTGGCCTTTATTTCCATTTTATACAGAAGGAAATGGAAACTTAAAAAGTAAACATGCCCACGGTCACAGGGCTAGCAAAAGACAGACTCCAATCATACTCTCACAAAACTGCTGTAACAAATGCTCACCCCCAGCCTCTGGACAGCACTGTACTCCTGATCCCAACTCTCACCTGAAGGGGTGGAGATTATAGGGGAGATGTTTCCAGACCCCTGGGTGGCCCAGCTGGCCATAAATAGGCTCCACACACACCTGGAACCTCTTCCCACATGCTGTGGCCCACTCAGCCCCAATGACAAGCTTCTCTCCCTCTCAACAGCCCAGGTTCCTGGCCAAGCCCCAACTGAAGATAAGGACAGTTCCAAGGACTGCTGAAAGCCCTGCATCAGAAATCAACTTTGCAAGGCTAGACCTTGTCCCCACTCACTCAATGACAGAAAGTTGGCGGTGAACTAAAGGCCCTCCATGTTGGCCCTCTCGCCTGCATCTGTGAAGGGGCTCTGAGCTAGGGAGGGTGTCACACAGCCTTGGGGTGTGGCCCACCTGGTCTGGGAAGTGTGGGGAGCAGAGCTTCCTCACCACTGGCCTCTGAGCAGCCCAAAGGCATTTCTTCATCCTGCAACGTTCCGGGAGTGGGCTGAGAGGCAGCTGGCCATAGGTACAGCACTTCAGGGAAGGACAAAGAGAGGGTCACCGAGAAGACACTGGGAGAAGGGGAGAGATTCCCAAAGGAGGGGGTCAAGGTCAGAACAAAACACTCTGGGCTAGACACAAGGAGCCACCTGGGGACTCCTCAGGCACCTTGCCTTTGGGGAGGTCCCCAGACAGCTTGCTGAGGACAGGCACGGTGCTCTGCCTGTCTGTCTCTCCTTCTCTTTATCTCTTTGACTCTCTTTTCTTCCTCTCTCTGCCATCCTCTCTGTCTCTATCTCTTTTTCTATGTGTGTGTGTGTCCTCTCTGTGTCTCTTTCATTGGGAAATATTTCTAGAAAAGCTCTGACCAGGGCCTCCCTGTACCGTGCACTCCTGCCCGGAAGACTAAAATGTTCTTCTTTAGCAGAGCCTGGGTCCTCCTGGTGTACCTCTCCGCCTCCCCACCACCACCCTCCACGTCTACACAGTGTACATGTGGAAGACTCTCATCTCATTTACCTGTGACACCTGAACAGCACCTGTTTCTCCCTGCCAGCTTCCCCGAGATCCTGAACCTGTCCCTCCCCAGACCATGGAAGGGCCCCCAGCACTGACCTATGAGCCAGGAGCCAACACCTGCACCTGCCAGCAGCCCCAGGGCTCCCAGTACCGCACAGCCACGCTGCATGGAGTGCCAGCACCCTGCCAGAGAGACTGTGAGGAAGGGCAGGGGGGTGTCTGGGCTCCCTGCTCCTGCCAGCCAGCGTTACTCCACCCCAAGACCCCACCACAGAGCTAGGCACCCATGGAGCTCTGTGCTCCATCAGTGTGGAATGGCTACGGGGCAGGGTCCTTACCACAGAAGCCCATAGAGACCCTTCAATCCCTCAAATGGAAAACAAGGAGCAAAGACAGGTCTGGGGGTAAAGAGTGACACAGCATCATGTGGGTGAGGCTAACCCAAGGAGGATCCAGAGGACACAGGAAGATTTACACATGGGAATGTCCCTCACTGCCCCCACCCTGTCATTCCCTTCCGGCCCTGTCCAGCCTACTGGGTTGCTGCTGGTCTCCCAACTCTGCTGTGAAGATCCCAGGTCTTGGACCCTCCTCTGGGTACTGAGCCTCCATAGGGGCGTGGTCATCCAGCATCAGCCTCTGGGGAAAGAGTTGTCAGACCCCAGGGTCCCGCATCAGAGACTGCCGAGGGAAGACCCACTCCCAGTCCCCATTCTCTAACGTCGACCACACCCTCCCACCACTGGCAAGCCTTTATTCATCTTGGAGACTCCCTGTCTGTCCACAGATGCCCCTCCAAGGCCCTCTCTGCTCTCCTGGAGCCCCTCACCTCACCCACTTTACTCTCACATAGCCAGTCAGTGTCAGAGCAAAGACTTGAATCCAGATTTGGCCCCATCTACAGCCCACACCCTTAACCACTCCCTATCTTGCCCCCTATGAGCCTCTAGAGCACACGCTGAAGTCCCTCAATGTCCCTCTTCAGGCTACAGACTCCCCTCCCGCACATTCCCTCCCATCAAAGGAGAAGTGATCCTCTGCCAGGCAAGCATGCACCCACACCCCCATTCACTTCAGTAGATACTATATAGCCCAAGTGCACAGGGGGATACTACAAAGACTCCAGAATCAATCAATGTGGACCGCCCTTCCCCAACTACCTCAAAGAACTCACAGTCTAGCCCCGAAGATAAGTCATGTCAACAAAGGAGAATGGGTCAGGTGGCAGAGGAAAAGTTCAGCCACACTACCATCATCATTCAAAAAATAAGAGCTTACCCCTCACTGGGGAGAGAGGAAGGCTTCCTCGGAGAGGCAGACTCTGACACAGACTGTCCTGGATGAATAGGGTTTGAACTAACACACATGGGCACGGGGAGTCCAGGCAAAGAGAGGAGGTTAGGAAAAGGCACTGGCAGTGGGGGATTGGGGGTCAGGGAGGACAGAGCAGAGGTGGTCACATCTGTGCCTGGAAGCTCATGAGCCCTGAGGAAGAGCAATGAAGGTAACACCAGACAGTTCAAAGCTGGGTCTACTTCTGACTGCGCGAACTTGGACAACTCGGGCCATCACTCAAACGTCAATGTTTCTATTTATAAAATACAGTAATCTCCATGGCTCAATAAATAATCTCCCCCTCTAGTGTATTGTCAACCTCCATTGTTCATCATGCCATAAAGCCAGAGTAATCTTTCTAAAATGCAAATAGGAACACACAAACCCCATGTGTGAAGTACATGGTGAATATCTGTAGCCTTCAGGATCAATCCGGAGCTCCATGGCTCGGCTCATGAGGTCCTCCATAACCTCTCCCAGCCTCACCTCTCCATCCTCCCAGCCAGCCCTAACTCCCTGCAGAGCTGAAACTAGGGGTCACACCGACATGCAAGCCGTTCCTCAGCTCATTTAGGGACTTTGCACCTGCTGTCCCCTCCCCCACATAGCTGAGTCCTACTAACTCTTTGAGACTCAGTGCAGATGTCACTTCTTCAGGGAGCTTCCTTTGATATGCCCAGAACCTGTTGTGGCCCTCCCTATATTGTGCTCCTTCCCTTCTCTCTCTCTCTCCTTCCTTACAGGTGTGTGTATCCCAGGGCTGAGCACAGGCCCTGGCACAAACACGGAGTTCAATTAAAGTGCACTGAAGAAGGGGAGGCAGCCAGGCAGTCTGAACAAAACAGTGTGATTGAAATGGCTTAATAAACAACAACACACCATGTAAATTTCAGGTATAATAATATTAATAAGGAATATCCATAAGCTATGGGCCCTTCCTCAAGGAAATTTATAATTCAGAAGAGTTGATTAGATCCCTTAAAATGAAAGTTGACTCCCATCTTCTGTGAAGACCACCTTTCCCTGTCAACACATAAGTGTTGTAACCAGTGATCACAAAGCCTGAGACACTGACTCCAAAATAATGTTGGCTTGGATGTGCTGTTTGTGTTATGTGGGATGTTCTTTTCATACCAGACTCCTCCCAGTCCTGCCTTTGTGCTCCACTGAACTGGCCTTCCTGATCCTCTCTGCCTAGGGGAGGAAGCCTTTGCCACATTCACTCATGTGGGTCACCTCCAAATCATCCTGAAAATCATTCCACTGGACCCAGGAGCATCCATGCCAGTTTAGTAGCAAATGGGACAGTGGCCCAATACCTTCCCTGTAGAGTAGCACACCGGTCCCACCTACTATCCCTACACCAGTCATAGCCCGGGACCTGGAGGAGTGGCCCTCCCAGCAGCCACAGGCCTTGCTTCCCCAGGAGAAACACAGCCGTAGTTTGTATCCACCTCTCTGAAGATGAGACTCCTGGGGCACAGGCAACAGGGTCAGAGCATGGGCTTGGGAAAGCCAGGGAAGAACCCATAAGACAGTAGAGAAATGGCCACAGAGTGTGAGGTGGGGGTTTCTTCTCTGGGGATGTGGTTTTTCTTCAGCTGACATCATCTGGGCGTAGAGGCAGGCTAGTCTACAGAGAAGTCCAGGGCATACCCAGCCTTTCCTGTCATCTTAGTACCAAGGGAACTTGGCTTTCAAGGCAGCCTCTGAACTGAACGGCCTCACTTCAGATACCTACCTCAAAACCCAGCTGTCCAAGCTCATGTGGTAGCCTGAAAAAAATGACCCTTCATGGTGTAAGATTCCTTGGTCCTCTTTTTGAGCCAGAGTCCAATGTTACAATGATTTGCTAAGCGTGGCCTATGTGCAAAGCGCTTAGTAGGTCTATGGGAGACAAGGGAGGATAAAAGGCAGCCCCTGGGGAAAAAAACAGGGTTTTGGCCACACAAGAGCCCTGCTAGGATTCAGCCCCATTCCAGAGCTGTCCTGGGTGGCTCTTTCCACCAGCCTACAATCCCAAGGGCAGGGGAGAGAAAAAGAATGAGAGAGAGAGGCCCACTCAGGGATGACACAGAGGCATAGCCTTACCGTAGTGGTCAGTGGCACTGTTGGAAAGCTTCAGGGACAGCTAATCATCATCTTGCTCTCAGGCCAGCATTGATTAAATAGCCCAGCCAGCTTTGTTGGAAGATGAGGTCTTCCTAGTCCACACATGGCCCCTCCCTGTCTCCCCTCTCCACACACACACACAGACACGCACCAGAGAGACAATGAACTCTGCTCAGGACCCATGAATGGGCCCCTTGTTGCAGGAAAGGGGGCCAAGGGCTAGGCTGGGCTAGGCAACCCCAGTCCCTCCCATCTGTTAACTGGAAGTTCAGAAACAGAAAAAGGTTACAGGGAGGAGGGGAGGCCAGCTACTGTTGCTTAGCAACCAGGTCCCTTGTGCCAAAAAGTGTGCCCCATGCGCGCTAGCACAATTCTCCCTACTTGCTGACAGGGCTATACTACAGACACTGATATTAGCACTTGTTCAAATGTTTCTGAGCCCTCTGGGTTATATCTTACATCTGTGTAGTTGGCTTTACTAGCAGCCTGGGGCTGTGACCATGTTGGAGTTTTGGGGGTGAATTTTGTCACTTCTCTCCCCAAGGCTGCACCTGCCACCCCATACCGGGAAAGAGCCCCCTGCATCCTGTCTACTCTGGGAGCCAGTTGCCACAGGAGCCCTCTGTGCTATCTTGTTTCAGAGCACCCCGGGTGACCCAGCCAAGCCCAGGTTGTTGTGAACACACCTGGGAGCCGCATACATCTCTTTAGGCAAGGAGGCAGAACAGCCCCCAGGGAAGGGAAGGCTGATGGGCCTTCATATATCCCCGGGGTGGGACCGTTAAGAATACATGCTTTAGAGTCAGGCCTTCATCCAACCCTAGTTCTCCTACTTCCCTACTCAGCTTTGCCTGTAAAATGAGGATAATAATACCTATCTCCGAGGGGTTGATGCTAGAATTTGATGTTAGAATTAAACTGTCTCTTTTTTTAATTTTAACCTGCACCCCAGAAAAAATTAGATGTTAGAATTCAATGAGATATTGAACAGAGAGCCCTTAGCTTGGGGTCTAGCATAGACTGTATTCAGAAAATAGTAGCTGCTGAACCTCACCCACAGAGGCTTTATTTTAATCTCTGCTCCCTATTCTCCTTAGACACTCGGTGTGTCAGATTTGAGCTTCTGGTCATCACAGAGCTCTCCACACACAAAACAATGAAGAGACAGAGGTTGGCCATGAATTACAGAGGAGGAGGAGGAGAGAAAGGGCAGCTGGAGTTGAGGGCAGCTGGGGTAGGCTCAGAGCCTCCTGGGACAATATTCCTTAGACTACAAATCTGAATACCTACGGTGTGTCAGGGACTGGCCTGGGCACGGAGGATGAACAAGTCATAGACCAGGCACCTGCGAAATGGAAAAAGAGGAGCAGATATAAATAATTGTTATTTGAAAAAAGGGAAATAACAAAGGCATGAACACAGAGGTACAGACAAACAGAGGAGTAGCTGACTCCTTTTCCCAGAGGACACGGACAGACTTCACAGAGAAGGAGATACCTGAGCTGAGTTTTGAGAAGTGAGAAGGCAGTCCCAGAGAAGGGCATTTAAAATATATTGCAGGTGACGTCAAAGAAAATGGCAGAGTGAAGACCTCGGAACACACCCAGCTCCATAAAAACAGTGAGCAGAAAGAGTCAGAATCAACTTTTCAAAACTGTAGAAATTATTCAAAAGTTTATGGTAACTTGGGAAGTGTTTACTCAAGAAAAAGGACATAATTCCTGTAAAATGCCTTGGTGGCATTTTAACTTGCTCTCATTCCATCCTCCTCCCTCGGACTCTGCAGCAGCCTTGAAAACCAGCATCCCGTGATTGCAATGGAAACCAGCAGGATAGCAGCTACAAGAAGGGGCAGTAGAACAAGCTTGAAGCTCCTGCAAAGCTCCCTTCCCAGAGAGTTGTCCTTGTTTGATCTGTCTGGAGGGCTCTTGGAAGAGCAGCCTTTGCAAGGCTGTCTTGATGTGACCTGACTTGCAGCTTGCCCAGTGTCAGGTTCATGACCAAATGTCAGGTTTGTGTTGCTGGTTTTTATCCCAGTACTAAAAAATGGTGACTGAGACCAAGTCAGCAGAACAAATGAGCAGACCAAACAGATCCAAGCACCAAGATTTATTAAGCAGAGTGAAGACCTCAGAACAGTACCTTAGAGAGGGAACAGGTCTATCTCTGCAAGTGGAGAAGACCCTGAGATTGAATAGCGTTCTCTCCTTTATACTAAGGTTTTAATTCTATGTTAAGCTGGTGTAGAATATTCATGCAAAGGGGTGGAGAGTTCTCAGAATGGTAAGTCCTCTCTGTTTTTAACCTTGTAAGGCAATGTCTGGGGGTTGCCATGGCATTTTAAACAGTCATGGCATGGGCGGGTAATTTTTACTATGCTAATGAGGGTAGGTCACTTCAGGACACTGTCACCTTACTTAGGGGCATGCTCTAAAGACCCCCTTTTGTGGCCTTGATCATATCTCCACTTCGTGCTTTCTCTGCCTCTTTCTAACTGGTAAGTCCTTGGAGACGCCCTATTGTGAACCAAACATCTGTTCAGTTCTTGGAAACCCCCTGGACAAGACATCTGTTCCCCCTCCTCCTCATCTTTACCTAGCACCAGGGTAAACACATTGTCTCTAAGAGCATTTATCGAAAACAATTAGAGACAACTGTTGGATTTTGTAGCAGCCTGAGACAGTAGATAATAGTTGGGGTGAACAATGGGTAAACCAAAAACCTTACAAGGGTAATCTAGTGAGTGACATGTCTTTGAGGGCCTTTGAAAGCCTCCACAATATACCTGGGAATCTAGAAAGCCACATATATGTATAGGACTGTGTGCATGCCCAGGGGCACATGTGCAGGAAAGGCCAAAGGAAGGTCCTAGCCAATCTTGAGGCTCTATACAAGCAGGAGGGCTAAGGTGGGGTTGTACACTTCCGTCTGAGTGATGAAGGCAGGCCCCAGCACATACACAGAGCCTCTCTGCAACTGGGCAACTTACTGTTTCCAAGCATCAAGGCAGGCCCTGTCCACCTGCAGCCTGACCACTAAGCCATGATCAAACATGACAAAGAATGCAGATTTTACAAAATTAGTTGAAATAATTCACTGAACAGACAACAGCAAGAAAAAACAAACCTTGAAAAAGAGAAATAATCATATTTCCAGAGTTGTTTTGTATTATATTTTTTTAAATACAGTTTTCAATAAGACATTATGAGACATATAAAGCATCAAGAAAGAAAGGCCTATACACAGAGCAAAAAAGAAAAAGCAATAAATAAAAACTATCGCTAGGCTGGGTGTGGTGGCTCATGCTTGGGAAGCCAAGGCCGGAGGTCAGGAGTTCAAGAGCAATTTGGGCAACATAGCAGTATAGAGAGACTCTATCTCTATGAAAAAACAAAAAATGAAAAAGCCAAGACATTGGATTTACAAGGTGAAGACTTTAAATCAGCCATTCTATATATGTTCAAAGAACTAAAGGAAATCATGTCTAAAAAACGGGAGAAAATTATGAGAACAGTGTCTTCTCAAGTAGAGAATGTCAATTAAAATTAGAAATTACATTTTAAAAAACAAATAGAAATTCTGGAGTCTAACAGGAAATTCACCAGAAGTGCTCAATGGTAGATGTAAGTAAGCAGGCAGAAGAAAGCATTGTGAAGTTGAATATAGGTTAATTGAGATTATCCAGAATGAGGGACAGAAAGGGGGCAAAGAGTGGAGGAAAATAAACAGGAGTTCATAGACCTTTGAGATGTCATCACATATACCAGCATATGCACAATGGGCCTCCAAGAAAGAAAAAGGAGAGACAGAAAGGGGCTGCAAGAATATTTGAAAAAATAATGACCAAAAACTTACCAAATTTGATGAAAAATACTAATCTACACATGAAAGAAACTCAGTGAACTCAAAGTGGGATAGATCAAAGAGACCCACACCTAGACACATTATAATCAAATTGTTTAAGGCCAAAGACAAAAAGAGGCTCTTGAAAGCAGCATGAGAAAAGCCACTCATCACATATAAGAGATCCTCAGTCAACAATTTAACAGTTAACAGTTGACTTATCAGAAACCATGTAAGCCAGAATGTCATGTTCAAAGTCCTTAAAGAAAAAGTCAACAAAAAATTTTATACCCAACAAAACTATACTTCAGAAATGGCAAAAAATTAAAACAATCACAGATAGCAAAAACTGAGAGAAGTCATAAATAGCAAATTTACCCTATAAGAAATACAGTCATGCACCTCATAATGACATTTTGGTCAACAATGAACCACATATACAGGCAGTGATCTCATTAGATTATAATGCAGCTCATCTATTGTATTTTTATTGTATTTTTTCTATGTTCAGAAATGTTTAGATATATAAATATTTGTCATTGTGTTATTTATGCCTACAGTATTCGGTATAATAAAATGTTGTACAGGTTTATGGCCTAGGAGCAATTGGCCATACCACATAGCCTAGGTGTGTAGTAGTTACACCATCTAAGTTTGTGTAAGTATTCTATAATGTTTGAACAATGACAAAATTGCCTATCAACACATTTCTCATGCATGACAATGAAAGAAAGTTTTTCAGGCTGAAATAATGAGACAAAGACAGAAACCTGAACCCACATCAAGAAATAAAAAACACTGCTAAAAGTAACTACATAGGTAAATATAAAACACAGTACAAATGTATTTTATGCTTATAACTCTTTTTTTCTCCCATCTTATCTTTTTTTCTTTTCTTTTTTTTGAAACATAGTCTTATTCTGTCACCCTGAATAGAGTGCCATGCTGTGGTACAGCTCACAGCAACCTCAAACTCTTGGGCTCAAGAAATCTTCTTGCCTCCGCCTCCGAAGTAGCTGGGACTACAAGTGCCCACCACTACACCCAGCTATTTTTAGATACAGAGTCTCGCTCTGGCTCAAGCTGGTCTTAACCTGTGGACTCAGAAGTCAGGCTTTGATGGAGGCACAGGTTTTGAGGATGGCAGACAGGTTGCGTAGAGTAATACATCATGGGAGGAACTGAGCTACCAAATGGACCAGAGACGTTCATCAGGTAAAGCAGACTGAGGTAGGCCTACTTCCAAACTTTCCAGGAAAGCCCTAGGCAGTGAACCCTGG